GGGGCACAGGGGTGGGACCGGATTGCACACCTTTGAGACACGCTTGGCTTCTGATGCAAAGAAACGTGACACCGTGACTTTGAGAAGAACAAAGGGAGGGGTAGGTTCCAGGTGATAAGTTCGGGTTTTTAATTCCATGCTATGAACAGACCTAGTCAGTCAACATTATTTTTATTTTTTATTAGTTAGATGGACAGCCATGCGACATCTGACAGACAGCATTAGTTTAGAATATTGTTTATTCCTGATGCTTCTTCTGTTTGAGAACTAATCTTACTAAAAATAGTATTGATAGTAGGAATCTGACTTACCTGTTGACCCCAAATGAGATCTGTTCCAAAAAAATAGCCACCACTAAATAGTTGGTCTGTGTACTATGCTGCGGTAGGCATCTAGAATGATCTAGTGTGGACAGTGCACAGTGCTGTAGCCTATGAGCGACGCGGAGGACACCAGAGAGGACGAGCGCAGGATCCTGCGATCTGCCAGAGGCCCGTTAACTCACGTGTCCCTAGGACCGGAGGGTGATAGGGAACTGTTCCGYCGGCAAAGGGAGAGGAGAGCTAGAGCAGCCGAGGCCAGCAGAACCTTAATTGGTGAGGCTGGTGCTACAACAGCCATGAGCACGTCTGCTCAGCAGACTTCTCAAGCCGGTAGCTCAGGTACCGTCGGGTCCACGGTCGCACAGACCGTGAGTCAGTCCACTGGCTTAATGGCAAGCCAGCCCGCGGTGTTGTCCCTTGAGGATGTCGCCATCCAGCAGGCAGCCTTGCAAGAGGCACAATTACAGCAGGCATTAGGACAGATAAAGAGAAAGAAGGAAATAATGATTAAAAGGAGAACCAGGATGCAACGAAGAGGGGCAGACATAGAGGAGTTAGAAAGGATGGACCTGACCACTATGGATGATGATGTGAGAGTAGTTAGGAGGGCCCTGCTAGGCGTTATAGAAATGCAGGAGCACCAAACTACCATCCTCCATGACATCCAACAGAACCTTGCCGCTTTGGCAGGCCGTGCTCAGGCAGCACCATCTCCAACAGGGCCTGGTGCCTGGCCCGTGCCATATCCTCCCTTCTCTGTCCCACCGGTGATTGGGGTATCCCCATATGTAGCCCCGTCAACGGTTGCCATAGTTTCCCTGGGCATGCCGCTGTTCGGAGGGGTAACATCAGGGAGTAGTTTACAGGTTCCTGTACAGACAGTGTTTACTCCAAGTCCGTCACAGGTTGCAGTCACCACGCAGCCTGCTGTCTCGCAGCCAGTGCAGCCTCAGGGCACACAGCCCCAACATCTAGCACAGCAACCTGTTTCACCGGGTCCACAGCCTGGAATGATGCAGGGACCGGGACAACCATCTCCGCTCCCAAACCTTTCACAGGGGACAAGAGAGGCGAGGACCTCGTCACATGGTTGAGGGCAGTGCCGGTCTACGTCAGGTGCAAACTCACCTTGCCGCACGAAGAAGTGCTTGTGGCTGCGTATTACCTTGAGGGTAGTGCAGCGAGATGGTTGAGTGGTCTAGTGCAACTTCAGGGATATGGTCATGACTTCCGCGCTTGGGCGGCCTCCCATAAATTGGAGGACTTCCTGAAGATGGTGGAGGAGAGGTGGCATGATCCTCATGAGGCTCAAAGGGCCACTGATGCGATCCTGACACTGCACACGTGGCAGTTTAAGTCAGTAAGGGAAGCCACCGACGCTGTTGAGCGTCTGATCTGTGTCCCTGGGGTACGCTATGATCCTCAGGTCCTGTTGACTTCGTACCTGAGATGTTTTTCACAGACTCTCAGGAACCAGTTGGCAAAAGAGGCCAACATCAATATGCACAACTTCTC